GAATCTAATTCACAGCGTCCCTACTTCGAAGGTCACGAAAGACAAGATGTTGTACAACATCGTGAAAAATTTATGCAACATTATCTGGGATTAAAAGATTCATATTATACAGTTACTGAAGGTAAAGATCCAAAATGGCAAGTGCCCACATCAAACACACCAGTCGTTTTACTGTTTAGGTTAAGATAGGCCAAACGTAGTTTGATACGTGATAAAGTTATTTCTCTTTTCTTGTCTTTTAACGTATGTAGTTCATAAGGAGAGCACCTTTCGTAGTGGGGAGGTATCAGCCAAGCGATGGATATATGGTGACCACGCTCCATTCTATTCAAAAGGACGTGGAAAATCAAATATGGTTTCTGATTTTTTGGTTATGCACGAGTCTGGTCTTTTCTTTCAACTTAATCCCGCCGAATATGATAAGGCGTTAAAAAAATATCCTGAATTAAATAATGCACAAGATATTGATTATATTGAACGTTCAGCAAGTGCATCAATCGATGTTGGTTCTGATGCCTATTTTGATAATTCGACTATATTAGCACAATTCGAGCGATTATTTAAATTATTAGAGTTTAAAGAATGTTTTAAGAATAATAACATTGAAATTCTAGTGGATAATGCTCGTACACATTCTGCTCGTGCTTATAGTTTATTAGATTTTGGTAAGGGCATCTCAACACGATGTCCTGTTAATTATCTAGAATGGATTGATGATACTGGCGCTACTCAATCATTGTCGTGTTATTTTCAGCACGATTCTAATAAAGGAAAATCAAAAGGTTTATTTGAAATTGCTATTGAACTGAAATATTATCCACCACCAGGAATAAAATTAAATGAATTACGTCAGTTGCTTTCCCATTATCCAGCTTTCCAGAATGTAATCTTTTTTTGGTAGTCTAAAATGTCGCTATGCTTTTAGCTTTTTCTATCCTAGATTTCACGTTTAGAACAACTGGGAAAAAAATATAATGTATCGATTCGATTCTGTCCTAAGTTCCATTGTGAACTCAATGCTATAGAGGGCTGTTGGGCTCACATGAAACAATTTATTAGAAAGAAAACAGATCAAAATTACAATACTCTCTTAATGTTGATGAAAGAGTCACGAACCAATTTTCAGCACCAAAAGGTTCATCTTAAACTTTTTCGACGATTCTGGCATACTATAGAAGCGTACGAACAAGGAAAAACATATCATGAAGTATTGCAACAATTTTTCGATAATAGTTGTACAGGAACAGTTAAATCTCATCGTAGAATTACAAACAGTGGTTTAAAATCTTAAACTAGCAGGATGTTTGTTCACTCTTGTTTATTCTTTTCACTTGTTTTTTTTTTGTAAATTATAATGTAGGCTACTGTTTTTAACGATCTTAAATGATATTAA